ACTCTGTAGAGGGTGTCGTCGACGGTCTGGGCGTCGTAGCGGACATGCGGCCTGAGGAGGAGAGGGATGATGCCCCAGCGCTTCTCCCGGGCCGCGAGGGAGAGTGCGGTCAGGCCTCCGTTGTCTTTGATGGTCAAGTCCAGCTGGCACTGCAGAGACCGATTCTTCTTTTAGTTTGGGCACAGAACGGTATTCGGCAAAAAAGGGAGATGAAAACGCCAAGATTTTCGATTTACTCTTAAGAAAGAACTCACAGAATGCTTGGTGGTGAGCAAGAGTCGAGCGCATTCATCTTGGCCCCATTTGATCGCACCCATAAGGGGGGTCATTCCCCATATGTTGATTAGGTTCAGGTGCAGGTTCTGCATCTCAAGGAGGTCTTGCAGGATGAGCGGGTGACCTCCTGCGCAGACCATGAAGACAAAGGTGTAGCCCATGGCGTGCATGGCGTTGATGTCTCCGCCTTCGTCCAGCCACGTCTTGTACGTGGGCCGCCCATAGTATACCCCCAGCAGTATATCCTGAATAGATAAAAAAGAGGTTTTAAGCTGTTTCGTCTACCTTACCTCCACACACACACTCTTTGTATGTCAGCTAGAAGTCTCGTTAGTCGAGAACGTCATGTATAAAATATCACATTTCTTTTTTGCATTTCATAAGATTTAGATATTTGAAAGCTGATACAGCTCGTCCAAACCTTTAAAGTGAGACAAACATACGATTCTTGCATTATATCTGCCCCCTCCCCCTGAATGTTAAGGCCCAGAAGAATTTTTCTTTAATAAGATATATAAATAACTGGTTTACGGCCCTGTCATACATGTTCTTTTTGTATTTCCACATGAAAGCTTAGACGAAGACGATGGCGACCGTTTTTGTTGGGCTAACTTTCGTATGGACCTTGTTTGGCTTGGTTGGGCTTTATCCTTTTTACTGTTAAATATAATAAAAGAAATATGTGCAAACATAAACTAAAATAATAAAATATTTATATATACAACGTAGCCTCACTTACATTACTATATCTAAAAAATGTACTAATTACGAAAATGATCGTGAGTTCTCGGGACCCTATTCATGTTTGTTTTCATGGGCACTACGTCTGCTACCTTGGTAGCTACCTTGGGCTGTACGCGAGGCCAGAACCCCCACTGCCGCTGTGTCAGCGGTTTTCACCCTTCCGCACTCTCGCTTCACAGGAGCTAATAAGCAGTGTGCAAGGTCCAGACAATTTGCAAAGTTCAATTTTGCAAATTGTCTGGCCCAAGTTCAATTTGATAGAAAATGTGCTAGTGTGATTGGGCTTTTTAGATATCTCGAACTTGGAGCAACAACTATTTAGGTGTATCCCGTTATTTCGGGACCACTAGGATACAGTTTCAACTTTATTGTCGAGACACCAGTTTAACCCTCTTCTTTGGGAGAGGGACAAGGAATGCTTGTATGTGCAAATTTATATTAGAGGCTTGTTATTCAAATATCACAAATGCAAAATCTGGATCCAGTGTCTATTACTTTCTTATCTCTTTCTCTCAAATTCAGTAATGATCTTTTATCATCAAAGAAACCAAAGAACTCATTCATGTTGTTTCAATAGCAATAGCAGTAGAGGAAGCAATGATATTCGTGTAGTAATAATGAAGATAATGAATATGAAACTAATAGTCATCTCCATCACTTTAGAATTCTGATGGTGAGTCTTCCGTTACGCTTACGTTTCACGCCTGAAGCTATATTCTCGGCCCGGGGCGAGTCGGAGATTTTGGGTCGGTGGTCGAAAATGAGTTATGGTCAGTTTCATATTCGTAAATGAGAGTAGAATTACCCACGTGAATATGAACTTCCGCGGCGAAAAATTTGGGCTGTACGCGAGGCCAGAACCCCCAAGTCTCACTGCCGCTGTGTCAGCGATTTTCACCCTTCCGCACTCTCGCTTCACAGGAGCTAATAAGATGCATTATATTTTGACATTACCTATTGAAATGGATCACAGGAAGATAAAAATGTCTTATTATAACAGTTTTATACCAAACTGAAAGATTTCTGATATGAAAGACGAAGAAAAAAAATTATTAATAATGCGACTTTTCACATTTCTTTCCCATAAAATATAGTAATGATTCGATGTTGACAAATTCATCATAAAAGTATGTTTGGGGTTCGGTGATAATACATGAGCAGTTACAAGTCTGTATCTCCAAAAATAACCTCGCAACGAATAGATATTCACACGGACTGGAGGCCCGTGCGCGTTCAAGGCCGTCCCACGTGACAAAGCTTCAAGCGTCGCCACCGCTTTAGACTTTTCTGATTGCAATAGTTTTACGTATGCGCTTTCATTTGAAACTAAATAATCGATTAAACATCATTATGTCATTATAAATCCATTTACGAGAAAAAAAATGTAAAGAAAGATTATGATAGAATTTATTCGTGTAAACTCGTAAAATCGGCCAATAAATATCTGATACCTATTGTTACATCGCAAGAAGCATCCACGATAAACGAATATATGAGATTTGATATAAGAGATTTGTATTTCAAAATATTTTTGATCTATCAACGTTTTCTGAACGGTTATTTGTAACGAACACTAAACAATTCATTGTCCCTCCATAACAAGTACTCCGCTGGTGACTAAACGATTATCGCTTGTTTCGAGGCGGAATCACGTGGTTAGGCGATGGGGAAGAAGAGTAGACTGGAATAAAGAGAAAATAAATAAATGAAATAAATAATTATGGATCTAATAAGTATATGCGCATATACGCATATACACGTGCACGATCATGTACCTTTACAATAATTTACGTGCGTATACACATGTAAACGAATATATACACAATAAAACAACAATAATAGAGGTACAAAACACGAAACAACCGATTTTATATAACGGTCATATTGTCTTGGGTCTGGATTTGCCCCTTTTCACGGGAGACATTTGTTTGCTTGTTTCTATAACAGAGACTAATGATCATATCTTTACCTAACAAAGTGCGTTTGAAAGAGGAATAAGAGTAGTTTCTACAGTAATGAAATGGTAAAGATCTATAAATGAAAAAAAAAAAAAAAAATGATCTTCAAATATCCAACTTTTTGTTTGTTTGTTTTTTCGATATTTCTATTTTCGAGCTTCAGAAGATTCCTTGTCCTACAGTTTTTATCCGATTAAAATTTTGGATATATCTTCGGAAACCTTGTGGAAATGCGCAGACAACTACCTAGCGATTTGATTGAAATGTTGCTTACTTTTTTATACGAATTTTTGAAAATCGAAAAAGACTAAATAATTTGTTTTTTTCTAAGGAAACAATCGAATTTCCAAAAAAGGATTGGTAGTTGTCTTAGGAATTCATTGATAGTCATTCACATTTTTTTCATGACAAATCATAATCCTCTGGGACAAGGAACCTTCTGCGCAGACACATGTGAAAAAAAATGAAAAAAAAAAAAAAAATTGCGGGGGGCAGCGCCCCCCACGTAGGAACCCCAACAAATTTCGTATCAAAAGATGCGGAATATGAAAATACATAAAATATCCAAAAATCAAGAAAATCCATAGCACTTTTTATTTTGTTTAATATTTACCAATATGACCCCCACCCCCATAATTGGCCACGCCCCGTTTAGGGACGGTCCCCTTAAGGTCGCTAGTTTTGATGCATAATTATGCAGCTTATTATCATTATAGTCCTATTATTGTTGTTGATTTTAATATTATTTTTATCGTTATTATCATTATTATTATTATTATTACATTATTATCATTACTATTATTATTGTTATTATTATTATTATCATCACCATTATTATTATTATCATTATTATCATTATTATTATCATTCGAGGCAAGTGCACTGCATAGAAATAGTGAGACGCACTTTTTGCATAGTTACCATTTACACATTATCCATTGTGGCTGGTTAAGAAGGAGGGTAGGATGGGAAGCGGAGAAGATAGGGGGGGGAGAGGGAGAAAGGAAGGGGAAGAGGAAGATGAGGAAGGGAAGACAGTGGGGACTAAAAGGGTAAAAAAGGATGGGTAAGGAGAAAGGGAGAAGAGTCACAGAAAAAAGCGGGAGAGGGAGAGGGAAGGAAGGGATAAGGGAGAAACGGCGGTGGTGGGGTTTAGGAAGGAAGAGGGAAGTAGGAGGGGAGATGTAGGGCTTAGACTGGGAAAGGAGAAATGAACACAGGGAAGATTTAACAACAAAGATTGCAGTAATAATGATGATGGTGAAAATAATAAATGTCTCACCATCATCCTTATAATTATCATTAGCAATCATTCCGGTACCATGATGATGATGATGATGACCACCATCATCACGACGACGACGATGATGGTGATGTTGGTAGTGATTATGATGATAAAGATGATAACAATATCAATGATAATGACTATAAAAATAGTACTACTACTAAGAACAATAATAAGAACAATGAAAAAAATGACCAAAGTTGATGATAATAATGATAACAAAATATTGATAATAATAATGTTAATAATTATTATTACTACAATCATAATGACAAAAATCTTAATCAGTCCCATCTATCATCATTATCAAGCCATTATCATAGTCACCATCATTACAATCACCTTTGTCAGAATCATAAAATATCGAGATCAAACACCGAGAGAGCGAAGCCCTCAGCGAATGTCCAAAAGCTAGTTTCAAAATAAATATTTTTTTTATGGAAACTGAATTACCCAGTAAATATATTATCTTGGATAAACGGTGATCAATCCTGTAACTGTATCCTGATTTTGTGTGCAGATCCGATTCATCTTTAAAGATGGAATTGGATGCCTCTTGGTGGCATGACAAAACCCACACATCAATTTTCATTACATTAACTTCATGACTCTATCCTGACTCCTGGGAAAGCCAACCTCACTCCCCCCGAAAAAGCTGGCAATAGATATTTCGGGCGACTTACCGTTGACAGGACTCCTAACTGCTGTGGCTGAGGGCAGGAACATGGATTCAGCTT